ATATACTTTTTTGTTGTTTGTTGTTCTGCTGCTGATGATGTTGTTGTTGTTGTTTTTGTGTTTTGTGTTCATTTTGTTGAATTCGTGTTGAATGTTTGTCTTGTTGCTAGTGGCAGTTCTGTTGAGTTTTGTTTTGTTGAAGTTTTTCAGGCAGGTGGTTGTTGTGCAGAATTTGTTTCCAAACAATGTTGTTGTCACTGTTGTTGTCACTGTAGCTAATGTTATTTTATTGTTGTTGGATTTTTTATTTGTTCTTATATTCTATGTCTATCATTTAAGTTTTACAGGAGATCAGCAAATTATTTTGTCGTTGTTGTTTTTATTGTTGCGATATTCATTGACGAATTATCTATTCATCACAATGTTTCGCTTGTTTGTGTTGTTGATTTACATATTTGTTCATGTCGTTGTATGTGTTGTTGATGTACCTGTTGTTGTTTGTGTTGTTGTGAATGTACATGTTGTTGTTTATGTTGTTGTTTGTGTTGTTGTTGTTGATGTACATGTTGGTTGTTGTCAATGTGTTTTGCATTATTTTTTCCGTAAATAGTTGTTTCATTATTGTTGTTATTGTTGAAGATGTTTTCATGATCATGTTATTATTTGTTATTATTTTTTGTTTTTATTATTATTATTATTATTATTATTATTATTATTATGTTGATGATGATCAGGTTATTTTTATTATTTTTCAATTCTGTGACTTTCCTAGCCTTGTTTCTGTGCTGGCGTGTCCTGGATCGTAAATTCTCATTATGTGTCTTAATGTAACCACTGCTCACATAAAAGGAGTGCTGCTAAGAGCTGTTTTTGTTGTTGTTGTTGTTGTTGTTGGTGTTGTTGTTGTTGAAAATGTTGTTGTTAGTAGTGTTGAGGTGTTGTTGTTGTTGCTGTTTGTGTTGTTGTTGATGTTGTTGTTGAAGGTGTTGTTTGTTGTTGTTGCTATTAAAAATGTTGTTGTTGCTGTTGTTGAAAGTGTTGTTGCTGTTGTTGTTGTTGTTTGCTTGTTTGTTGTCGTTGATGATGATGTTAGTGTTGGCGGTGTTGTTGTTGATTTTGTAACTGTTGTTGTTTTTAAATGTTGTTGTCATTTTGTTCCTATGACGTTGTGGTGCTCACGTTGTTGTTGATGTTCTTGTGCTGACGTCACTGATGTTTTGCTCCATGTTGATGTTGTTGTTCAACATCGTCGACGATGTTCATGTTGTTGAGTTCGGTTCGGGTGTAGTTGTTGAAAATTCGGGAGATGTGGTTGGATCCGATGTTTTGTTTTCAGTCAGGCCTTCGTCACAATGTTTGCGAACACAACACACACTTGTGTGGATGTATCCTGCTTCGCCATCCAACCCACCAACAACAAACACTCAATCATCGTCTCCTATCCCTCACCCCTCACCCCTTGCAACGTCCGAACATCGCGTCCAACAACGAACAACAAAAGTTTCTCACGACTCAGTACCGCAAAGACCTCCTCGTTAATTTCGAAAAGTTTTTCAAACAACAAATTAAATTGGGACGAACAAAAAAACTTGAAAGTACCACCTCCTAAATACAATCCAACAACAACAAACGCAACAACAACTTGCTAACAACAGGGGCCCAACACGCGACATCAAAAGCAACAGTACACAAACAAACACAAATAGACAGACATAGACTCAGACAGACAGACAGAGACAGACTAAGACAGACAGACATAGACAGAGATAGACACAACAGCAAAGCCATCAAAATAAAGTCTTTACTCGCCACAATTAATGCTAAGCATTATTACTCCAACCAACTATAATCCAGACGCACGCAGCTCACAACACGAATTTCCATCCGTCAACAGAACGATGTTGTTGTCGTTGTTGTTGTTGTTGTTATTGTTGACGATGATGTTGTTTATGGCGGTGCTATAGATAATATCAGTTAGGTGATTGTTAACTGATGTGAGAGCCTGTAGTTATATTGGACGGAACACTCAACAACAACAATATTCTTCTCCGGTCATCATCTTCGTTGCACATCGGTGGGGCGGTTTTGATTGATATTAACACTTGCCTAGCGTACCTATCTATTGAGGCCCTTGTCTGTGTGATGCTTGCTTCTGTTTAAAATCGAACGAATGGTTGAATAACTAAAAAACGATAATGAAGGAAAACAATATGTTATTACTGAATTTGATTATATCTGATGCTAAAAATAAACAAAAAATAAATAACAATTACCTAATTAATATATAAATTAATTAATTAATGAACCTCGATGAACCTGCACCATTGCAGACTGGGCAAGAACCCGCTGGAGTGCAACTGCCAAACCACCTGGCTGAAGGACTTTTACGACAGCAAGCCCAACCTCTTCAAAGGAGCAGATCCGCCATCTTGTAAATATCCATCCACCATTTCCGGTCAAACGTTTGAGAAATTATCGCGGGAGGATTTTGCTTGCCAGCCTCCGTCGTTCAAGAACATCGACGCCATATTTGATAGCGAGACTGCGAAACTGATGTGTTCTGCCAGCGGCGTGCCTGCCCCCTCCCTCTTCTGGGTTCTCCCCTCTGGGCAGGCCTTTCGGTACGAGTTGCCATCTATCGAGAGAAATTATTTGTCGTCGGTGGGGGGTGTGGAGTCTATGAAGTACTCCCTGCTGGAGGGCAATTCCAACCTGGCCGTGTTGAATCTCATGATGAAGGGAGCAGCTGGTAATTTGTCGTCGGCGTCGGCATCATCATCGTCGCTGCCATCGTCGTTGTCATCATCTTCGTCGTCATCTTCCTCATCATGGAACCATCGCGTGGCGACCCTAACGAACGGAATGTACGTTTGTGTGGCCAGCAACGCAGCTGGCAACGTCACTCTCATGGTGAACGTGTCGTGGCCACTGAAAGACAGACATCACCAGCATCATCGCCATCACCATCATCACCACGTTCACTCCCGACATCCCTCCGATAATAAAAAAGCTAACGACATAAATGATGACGATGACTACAAAAGGCGCGATTACGATGATGAGGACGACGATTATGACGACGACGATGACGAAGATGACAGCAACCACCGTAAGTTCAACTCACACCAGCCACATCGCTACGCCACAACCACACATCGCGCGCACACTGGCTTCAGACGCCACCATAAAAACAGAGACAGAGAGGAGAAAAAACATATTATCAGCAGCAGCAGCAACAACAACAATAATAACGTCATCGTTAATAATAAAAATAACAATCACAAGAAAGATAGCAGCGAGAAACCAGCCACTCACAACAACAACATCGACGAAAACCATTCCTTCCTCATCAACTCTCCTCCCGCCAGCAGCCACGACGACCACAACCTTGACCTCATGCTATCTTCCTCGTCGTCTTCTTCATCATTACCGCACACACGAGAGGGAATTTTCACACTAGCCGAAATGGTGGTAGCCGTAATAGCCACACACTTGCTGACAGTTGCTCTCGTTCTGTGCCTGCTCTTTGTCAGGAATGCGGTCTTGAAATCAAGAAGACAGAAAGGCCGCTATGTTGACGAGCCTGGCATGAATGTACCTGCCAACAGCAGTGGCAGCAGTGGTGGGGGCAGCAGAAACCTCATGGGTCCACTCATCAACGCTGGCCAGCAAAACATGAAGGACAGCTTGCGAAATTCAGATCCAACTTACGACAAGGTTTGTACAGTAAATTGTGTCTGTGTGTGTGTGTGTTCGTGTGTGTGTGTGTGTTTGTGTGCGTGTGTTTTTGTAGGTGCATTGCAATTTTAGATGTTCATGCAATTGTACGTAGGTAAGTGTGGTGGATGTGTGGTTGCGTGTGGTTGTGTGGTTGCGTGTGACTGTGTGTGTGTTTGTGTGTTGTGGGTGGTTGTGTGCGTTCATATATTCACATGAAAAATTGTTCAGTTGTATGTTTTTATACAACATGAAATACTGTTAAACAGTCAAGTTAAGAGTCAATTGTGAGTTCATGAGCCAGCACCGCCCAATAAAGTTTTATAAAATATACAATAATATGGACGAAATCAACAAACATCCACCAACTGATAACATCAACATAAGCAAAATTACTCGACACAAAAAAGTTCCAGTATTAGAAACACTGGCAACAAGATGCAACGATAACAACAACAGCCAACAAAACAACCAACAAAAACAACAACATCGACATTAACAACAACTCCAACAACAAATAGCAACAACACTCCCAAAACCACCACCACCAGCAACAACAACAAACAACAACACCACCACCAACAAAAAACAACAACAACAGCAACAAAATAACAAATAACAACAGCAAACAACAACAACAACAAACACTCTCCATTCCAGGTTGGTCATGTGATGTACCCCACAGATGTCTACAGCAACTCATCAGTGGCCCAGTATTCAACGAGATATGTCGTACAACGGTGATCTCCTCTCACTCCCTTTTCTTTCTCTCTCTCTCTCTCTCTCTCTCACTCTCTCTATCTATCTTTTTTATTTTTTTAATTTGTTCTTCATCGATTTATTTTAATTTGTTCTCAGAATTTCGCGCACTTTATTTAGCAATGATTCCCTCATATTTTTAAATGTTACTCTCCGTAAGTTCTTCCTTCCTTCCTTCCTTCCTTCCTTCCTTCCTTCTGCATCTTTCATGTTTCTTCACTGCACCTTCATTCCATTTTCTCCTCTCCAATTATATTTTCATCTTATTTTCTTCTATTTTCTTTCACTTAAATTTTGTTTATTTTTTCAAAATAAAATACGCTTATTATTATTATTAATGTTATTATTATTGTTATTATTATATATATGTATAATATTATTATGTATGTATATTTTACACATGCATACACCTAATATAACATACATATAAATAAATTATCTATTTAGTTTTTCATTTCCCAAGTTTTCTCTCTCTCTCTCTCTCTCTCTCTCTCTCTTTCTCTTTCTTTTTCTCTCTCTTTCACTCTCTCACACTCTCTCAATCTGTGTTTTCTTTTATTTTTTGCTGTGTTCATTCTTCAGCAACTAATTCAACATGTTGCACTAGTTACTTAAAAAAATAATACTTCTCGCCACAGATGTTTGAGCTGGTGTCCCTTCGTTAAAAGTTTCATTTTATTACTTATGAAACTGTTTCTTTCTGCTGTTACTGATGTCTTAAGGTATACAAATATGTTGTATTGTTCGATTCCTTTGAGTGATTAGTCAGGCGTAATGAACATTTTAATGAGTTTTTTGCAAACAACAGTTGTCGAGTTTAATCTGATTAATACCATTTATTTCTTTCTATTACACACCACATTTACACACACACACACAAACACTCACATCCACACACACACACACACACACACACACACACACACACACACACACATATATATATATATATATATATATATATACCAATAAATTTTTGTTGTTAAATGTACAAATATCAACCACTTCACAAAACTTTACAAAATTATTTCTTGACGTTTCGATCATAGAACTGTCCGTTTGAAATATTTTTTCAAGTTGGTTTTGTTTGGTTTCAATGTTAAAAGAGTAAAGTAAAAGAGTAGATCATCTAGTCTACATAATAATAATAATAATAATAATAATAATAATAATAATAATAATAATAATAATAATAATAATAATAATAATAATAATAATAATAATAATAATAATAATAATAATAATGATGATGATGATGATGATGATAATAATAATAATGAGACCAAACAAAAATAAATGGACTGCATCAAATACAATAACTTTAACTGCTTTCAGTACAATGCAGGCAACAGCAAAGCCAACGTGTTTCGTCAATTGTGCTTATTAAAATGAACACATTTGAGCAACGAAAATAAAATGAATGCAGAAGCAGTTAGGTTGAAGAGAATCCGCTCGAAGAAATGATATCAAAGGAATTTCACCGAGACAACCAACTCCATTGGTGACAGCTGCTAATTTTTGTAATCCCAATGTGAGGTAATGTGAAGCAGGTCAAGTGCAAACTTCTCACTCCAAATAACGGGACAATAAAATCTGCTGCAGTGTGGGTTCTTGGAACACGTGCCCGCAACGGAGAGTTACGACGATGCAAAGAACCTTGTGCGTGTTGAGGGCTGAGGTGTCCGACCATCTGCCGTGTTCCATTCAAGTGGTTCAACATTTTTCTTGTGTAACATTTTCTCATTTTAATTAACGTTTGCATTCTAGTCAGATAGATTAGATAGATGATGAGGCAAATTATCATCTTCGCACACATCAGAACACCTACAACGACACTGCAATTGATGACAAACAAACAAACATGACTCCACACATATGATGGCACAGACAAACACACATACACACAGATACACACAGATGAACACAAACATCAGCACATCAACAGTTACAAACAATAAAACTCTCAGAAGTAGCTGACAACATGCATTTAAGCGTCATTTGCCGGCACAAACTCATCCACATAAACACATACCAGTGTATTTCCATTGTACATATTAATTCATTTTTGCATTTATATAATTATATGATTGTATGTTGTTGTATGATTGTATGTGGTTGTGGTTGTATGGTTGTTCCACACATACACAAACAACGGTATGCAAAAGAAAGACAAAACACGTGCATACAAGTACCAACTCTATAGTACGCGAAAATGTACTATGGTACTTACTCACATATACACACCTGTACAAACAAACCCCCACACAAAGCACATGAAGCTACGTAGCAGAACAAACAAACATTAGGACGAAATGTCATACAAATACGTACGCACATGTACGAACAACGATGTACACACACACACACCTTGTAAATACACACATTTCTTGCATCTTTGAACTGTTTGTACAGGAATATTTTTTCAAATATTTTATTAGTAGCTCTATAAATGTATGTATAGAATTGATACTCATGTATTTTCATTGAATAGATGTTTAGTTTTATTGTTTAGGTGGCATCAAATTAAACGAAATTATTTTATTGGAAAGAAATTTTAACTAAAATTTAATGAACAGCCGTTCGGGCGATTGACAGAGTCTACTCTACACGTACATTTCTTTGTTTCAGTTCACGCACACACAACACATTACGTACATGCATGTGTAACATTTCATGGGCATTTGATTGTAGTAGGATTGATAAGTTTGTATGACACTTTCTTTTCTCTCTCTCTCTCTCTCTCTCTCTCTCTCTCTCTCTTTTGCTCTTTCTCCTCTCACTCTTGACGCCTCCTTCTCTCTCTTTATACATCCCTAAGGTTTTGTTACAATGACATAAATGGGTATATATGTGGTGTGTGTGTGTGGTGTGTGTGTAAATCTAATTACTTATTATTTTAAGATTGAATTTATTGAAATTTTGATTTTAGTAACGATGAATTACATATATCATATGAATAAGGATAAATTAATAAAATCAGAATATTATTTATTTTAGAATGCACTTACTGGTAATATGTACATCGTATTGAGAACTGTCACTCATTCATTCATTTATTATATTCATTCATTCATTCATTCGTTCGTTCATTCGTTTATTAATTCATTCATTCATTCACTTATCTTAGTTATAGCAAATTAATGAACGATTAGATGATTAGAATGTTCTAACATTTTTACATCATCATCACCATCATCATTATCATCATCAACAACAACAAAATTTGTATCATTAGCATCATCATAGTCGTCGTCATCATCATCATCCTCTTGTCACTATCATCATAACCTTCAATATCATCATCATCATTTTTACCACCGGTTGTCATTATTGTCGTCGGAACACACCACCACCAACCCCATCATCTTTTCGTCAGCGTTATAATCAATTGTATCATCATCATCATCATCATCATCACAATCAGTTTAATATTTAACCTTTTTTTTATTTTCGGTATATTTGTCGTCATCTTCATCATCATCGTTATCATTATTGTACTTATCATCGTCACCATCATCATTTAGTTGCCGAGTTATAATTTAGTTCCTATGCATTCAACATAAGTGATCTTCGTACAAGCAAGCCAGTTTTGTTCCTCCGTTCTGTCAACCAACCCATCAACCATCAAAAGTTATTTTTGTTTGCATTCATTCATTTTTTTTCTTCCGTTGTTTTTCTTTCAATCACAAAAAGTTATTCAAAACTTAAATTATTGATTTGAATTTTTTGGAATTGGAACAATAAAATGTTTGCTAAAAACTTGTTCACTCTTATTTTTTGCCAAGTTCAAAATCAGTTAACATTAGGATGAACGAGGAAACCCGAAAAGGCTAAAAATAAAAAAATTCGTATAATTAAATAGGCAAATATTATGAAATGTTTCACAATAACAGCTCGTGAAATACAAACGAACAACAAATTTCTGCAAGTTAAAGCGCCCGAATGCCAGCAAATGTCAACATAGCTTGAAGGGGAATAATGGTGAATGTAGATACTGGATGTTGCGGTTGCGGTTGCTGTTGCGGTTGCAGTTGCGGTTGCGGTTGCTGTTGAGTTGCAACAAATGAACATCAAACCAATAGTTAAAACAGTCAATAAAAACAAACAGTTGCAATTAAACGACACATAAACTATATTAAAATTTATTGAAAACCTTTAAAACAAGCGATCTAAACGGCAACAGATGATGTCATTTTGCATTAAGAATCCAAACCACCTCCACGCATGGGACGTGATAGCATTGAAATCATCAACACAGCAATGAAAAGTTCATGATGCTACAAATTTTTTTCTTGAAGAATTGAATGAAATGTTTTGAAATCAATGAAGTAAACACGAAAAAGCATTTACAAAAATTAAGGCTGAAAAACTGGACAGGTATTTAAAAAAATGTAACTTCCAAGCTGAACAAATAAGAAAATTAGAGCAGAAGAACATTTTCATAACCACAACAGAGCTGCACAAGTGACGAGGGCACGCACACACACACACACGCACGCACGCACAAGTAACAAGGACAGGAAAGCGAAACTCAAAATGAAAAATTGATCTTGATGTCAATAACAGATCTGAAACACTCAACAACTCCCATGCAAGCAACAACAAAAACACACGCGCACACACGCACAGATACACACATACATGCATATACACACACATACATGCACACATACACCTGCACAGTGCACACGTATGCACGCACATGCATAAACTTACATTAATTAATTAATTCTTTTATTTTTCACTCATTCAGACAGACGCACACACATACCTCCTCCATACATCAAGATTAGGCAGGAAGAATGGGGCAGTGGAAGAAAAACAAATTTCTGGAGAGCAAGATATAAAAATAAAAAAAATGAATCAAGATAACTGGAGAAGTGAGGTGTGGATGGATGTGAGTTGGAAAATAAGAAGGTGTACAAATGGCAAAAATGAGATAAAAAAAAGTCCAGGGGGAAGAAACTGAGAGTTGGACAGAAATAGTCGAGAATGGATTAATTGAAAATAACAGAGAATTTTTATAGCCTAAAATTTTGTTAAAAATTAGAAATAATTTAACTAGCGTTATTATGTGAAGAACGATTTTTTTTAAAGTATTGAAGTTGTTTGAAAATATAGAAGTACCAAAAAGATGAATCAAAAACGTTAAAAACAGCAAGTGCAAAGAAGAGAAGTTATTACTCTTTAATTAGCACAAAGAAGAATTTATGTCCGTAACAAACAATAACCAACAACAACACAACAACCTACGCAGCAACAACAACAACCATAAAAAGGACCACTTCAACAAATAATAACTCCAACAACAATTTCATAAACAACTGTAAAACGTATAATATAAAACAAGACAACAACTTCAACACAACTCAACTAAAACAACTTTAAGAAAAACAGCCAGAGCAACAAAAATTCAATAAATAAAACAAATTTAGAAGCAACAGCCAAGAGTACACGAACGTACAAAATTAATTAAGCAACCACAAACTTTTGCTCTAAATAAGCCCACAAACACGACAACTACGAGATGATGTTCACAAACAAAACTTACAAACATTTACAAAACCTTATTACGTTGATCATGAAAATGTCAATTCCAAGAAAGTTCATAATTCGCATCAAGTTGCTACTAAATTCATTGAACAACACCGACAACAGCAGCTTCTCTATTAAGAGGTGCAACTACGTAAGCGAAAGTTTTTCGCAACACCATAATGCTAGCCAGGCAACACGAACATCAGTGCTGGTGCTACAACGTAAAACAGCGGATCAATGTGAAAAGAACATGCGGAGAATTCAAACTCCACGAAGAATTTCTCCCATTGCGCACAACAACGCTGAACAAGTAAGAACCATTTGTAACGATTTTCATCGTTATTAAAGCACTAACAAATAAAAATCCTTACAAAAAATCGTTCATAGCCAGCAATAGCTACAAAAACACAGACAACGTTATTTTTCGAGATAGTCTCATGAAACTACACTTGAAACTGCAACATAAACCCAAATTAACAGGTTGGTTAGTACACACCAGTAGACGTGTTGTGCGATTCTGGTCCTTGAGACGTGTCTCGGTTTGTCTACGAGATGTGTCTTGTCTACGAGCCGGTTGTAAAAGCGAAAATCACATTACTATATAGTCTCCCAAACAAAATGGCAGGCTACACAATTTTTTTAGATCAATTTTATCTATTTTTTAATGTTCTTTTAAATATTTTATTTAATACTTTTAATATTTTTTTAAATTTTCAAGTTACATTTCAGTTTTTTTAAATTATTTTAAAAATTATTTAAAATGTTTTTATAGAAAAATATTTTTTAATTAAAAACCGGTTTTTTGACGTTTAGGAATTTTATTCAATCTCATTTCCAGTTTTATTGTTTTCAGGTTAAATTTTAGTTTTAGTTTTTTGAAGTTTTTCAGTGGTTTAATTCAAAACAAATGTCTTGAGAGTTTAATTTTTAATAGTTCTGAGTGTATGGCGGGACTTGATTGGAAAGAATTGTTGATCAATTTAAATGAAGAATTAAAATGTTTATAAACAGTTCTAAGAAATTTTATTATTTTTATAATGCTGGACGGCAAAAATGACAACAAGAAACCCATGCTGTGGTATGGACGCTAGACGGGACAAAATATGATGCCTCATGAAGGTCAATCTTTAGGCCGCCGCCGAACAAATCGCGCAACCAAGGCTAGCATATAAACATTCCAAACTTCACCAGCGACCAATGAAATCACTACTTAAAATGAGCAAGGTTTTCCACCAACATTTAATACGACGAACCTATAGAGCTACAGACTTTAATAAACGTTTAAAGCAGCAATTATCATTCGAACAGGTCTTTGGAGGTCTCGCTGACGCCAGCGAAGCTATGCATGCGACGCTTCCATAAATATTTTTATTATCATAATTATTTATATTATTATCATAAATAATTATATGAGTAGAAATCGGCCTAACGAAAAAATTGAATTAGAAACGCATTGAAACAAAATTTGACATTGGTTCGGTTTTGTTCAGTTGTGAGCGTTTAGAGATTGAAGATAGCAGTTGAAAATAAATGAACGCAATAAATATTAATAACTAGATTAACCGTGAAATGAACAAAAACAAGAAACATTTGAAATAAAATAAGATTTTTAATGAGAACAATAAAAAAAATAACTAAAACTTATTTAACCAGAATTACAACTCAAACATGACGAAATAAAATATCAGCAATAACGAGAAAAAAATTCCATTAAAATTAACACTACAAAACGAAACCAAACTAAAAACGTAAGCAAGTTTAAACACTTTTGACACAAAAACTGAACAACACATCGCCAACAGCCACAACAAACATTTAAACAAGGAAACCCACGTGGCATTAATAGGTCTCTTACAAAAAAAAATAGATGGATGTGCAATGTGTATTTAGATTGCGCTGCTAAGAATGGCAGCATATCGTTTCATATTGCCCTATGTTTGTGTCTTTGTTTGGCTGTATGTATGTATGTATGTATGTATGTATGTATGTATGTGTGTATGTGTGTGTGTGTGTGTGTGTGTGTGTGTGTGTGTGTGTGTGTGTGTGTGTGCGGATTTAGGTCAGTGCCCACCGCTGTGAGCAGTCTTTTAATAAAAGTCAGAAAATGGAATGTTGTTTTTAGAAAATCAGCCTAAATTAGACGTAATAGGCAAAAAAGGTCAGCAGCCACACTACCACACCTTGGCCTGGCCCACCCCCGTGGAAACTTTGGTCTTCCACGTAGAAATTTGAACATTTTTAAAATTTTGGCAAAGTCGTCTAGATCCGCCACTGCAAATACAATATCTATTAAATAAAAAAAATATAAACTTGTTATTTTGAAAATTGTTTAATTTATGTGAAAACGAAATGAAGATAATCTATAAATGTTTCAATCAATTGATGCAGGAGCACTCAGCAACATGTTGGCAGACATGAAATCATTTCCAAGTATTTAATTAAACGAATATGTAGACATGGAGAAGATGGAGGCAGGCAGGCAGGCAGGCAAGCAGGCAGGCAGGCAGGCAGGCAGGCAGGCAGGCAGGCAGGCAGGCAGGCAGGCAGGCAGGCAGGCAGGCAGGCAGGCAGGCAGGCAGGCAGGCAGGCAGGCAGGCAGGCAGGCAGGCAGGCAAACTGTTCTACACACGTGAACGTACAAATTAAAGGAACGGTAAGTATATACTGTACGGTGGCCCGGATAGATGGATTAAATTAAATGAACGAATTAATGAGAATTTTAAAGAATGTTTAAAAAAACAAATAAATGAATGTACGTACCAAGACAAAAATGAATAAGTGAATGCATGAATGAATGAACGAACGAGTGAATGCATGAATGAATGAATGAACGAGTGAATGAATGAGTGTGTGAATAAATGAGTTAATAAATTAATGAATTAATTAACTAATTAATTAATAGCTAGAGAATGTGATATAATGTTGAAGAAGAGAGTGAATGAAATATAAAATGAACACATGCAACCATTTTATTGGCAACTTCAGAATGTGCTCACTCAACCGAAGGAGGAACTTCGGCTCAAACAGGATGTAAAAAGAAAATAAAATTGAAAAATGCTTTCAGAATTTTTTTCTTAAAATTTTTTTTTATAAGCTTGAAAACAAATTGTGATGAAAAATTCATCATGATTATTATGTTTCTAATATAAAATAAAAAACTAAATCAAAATATAGAGAATTATCAAGTTTCCATTAAATGACTCAACATTTAACTAGTCCATTTGGCACTTCAATTCGAACCACATCGTTCAAACAACCCATTAAATATTCAAGTCCTCAAAGGAAAAATTGAATTCTACCATTGTTTTTAATCAGTTAATCAGATGAATATTTTAAGGATGGTCCAAAACATTTGGAAACATCCGTGCAGAAAAATCATCAAAACGAGCAAACTTGAGGTGAACCTGTTAGGTGCATGCATAGAAATACAAAAGAGACACAGCAGTAAGTATTTAAACAGTGAAAAGAAACAAATAACAATACTATTGAATGTGAAATTATCTTATTTGGATTTGGTGAAGGAAATATTTGACACATCGACAAACTTTTGAAATTACTAAGTTTAAACTTTCGCTTTAAAACTCTATTAAAATTATTCAAACAGCCAACACAAAATATTGTAATGGCAACCAAAAACATGTATTTATCCATCCATCCATCCATCCATCCATCCATCCATCCATCCATCCATCCATCCATCCATCCATCCATCCATCCATCCATCCATCCATCCATCCATCCATCCATCCATCCATCCATCCATCCATCCATCCATCCATCCATCCATCCATCCATCCATCCATCCATCCATCCATCCATCCATCCATCCATCCATCCATCCATCCATCCATCCATCCATCCATCCATCCATCCATCCATCCATCCATCCATCCATCCATCCATCCATCCATCCATCCATCCATCCATTCATTCAGTCTTCCATCTACATCTACTTACTTACTCTTCATCAAATACTCCTGAACGAATTATTTCTTCCATTGCAAACAAGACCTACTCATTACGTCCAAATTGAAGGATTCAACTCAATACCAGTTCGAACTGATAGGATATCTACACACACACACACACACACACACATACATACACACACACACACACGCACACACACACACATACACACGCACACTTACTCACACACACACACACACAAGCTGACACAGATAACACACACAAGCAAAATGAAAGTTATTAAAGTTATGGAATAGACAGAAGACTAAAACCGACTTTGAAAAGCACAAGATAGGAAAGAAGGAAACGAAAAACATTCATTAAAAAAAATGGCAGAACAGAAAATTGCATTGAGAAATAAATAACAAAAAATGTAATCAAAAATGATATTGAGGTGTTAACATTTACAGAGCAGGACTGTGTGTGTGTTGCTGAATGTCAGGGAGCATGCAAATTTTTGCTGCAGTCTGTGGGTTACAGTTGACGTCGCACGGTTCTTGCCCCATCGCACGACCAGCCCTCACCGCGCTCATCCTGGCGTCATCATCGCTAAGGCTCTTGTTTAATTGAAATATTTTCCTCGTTTTATTTAACTTTATTATATTTATTGTATGGTTTTAATTAACTCTTCTATTAATATTAATAAATGAATGAATTAATTAAAAATAATAAATATAAAATTATTTGAATATTATTATGTAATTAATCTTCCATCATTTAACCCATTCTTTATACTTATTTCGTGGATATTGTCATCAATAAATTTTCAGATCACGATCTCAAACTTAGCTCAATGACTCAAGTGGCTGACCAATGGTTAGTTGCATGGACCTGGTTCGAATTCCAGAAGATCCTCTCGTCATTTAAGTTACTCGTACGCAAAAAAATATAAAAGATTTTTCTCGTTAAAATGTTTTGAACGGTTCCAAAGATTAAATATTAACATCAACAAAAATAATAATAATGATGACGACGACGACGACGATGACGATGATGATGCTGGTGGTGATGATGATGATATTTTCGATTTGTTGCATTTTAATATTAATGTGTTTGTTGTCATGGATGTTATTGTCCTGCTTCGTGTTTTTATTTCTGCTATTTGTATTATCAAATTTGTTGTTGTTGTTATTATTATTATGTTAATATTATTATTATTTTGTTGTTATTATTGTTGTTATTATTATTATTATTATTATTGTTATAATTATTTTTCTTACGATTCCAGTTGTTGTTTATTTTTGTTCTTTTTTTCCGTTCCGTTAACTGAATGCCTCTCCTAATCTCTTTGGGACTCTTCATCATTCAAGAATCAAAAGTGAATAAATGAATGAATGAGTGAATGAATGAATGAGTGAATGAATGAATGAGTGAATGAATGAATGAATGAGTGAATGAATGAATGAATGAATGAGTGAATGAATGAATGAATGAATGAATGAATGAATGAATGAATGAATGAATGAATGAATGAATGAATGAATGAATGAATGAATGAATGAATGAATGGATGAATGAATGAATGAATGAATGAATGAATGAATGAATGAATGAATGAATGAATGAATGAATGAATGAATGAATGAATGAATGAATGAATGAATGAATGAATGAATGAATGAATGAATGAATGAATGAATGAATGAATGAATGAATGAATGGATGAATGGATGAATGGATGAATGGATGAATGAATGAATGAATGAATGAATGAATGAATGAATGAATGAATGAATGAATGAATGAATGAATGAATGAATGAATGAATGAATGAATGAATGATTATATGAGTGTGTGATAACGTAAATGAGAAAAAAAAACATGAGAGCAAATGTGATAAGAATTGAAATGATGGATGAATGAAGAAAAAGTGAGAAAAAGAAAGTGAGAGAATCAATTGAACTTCTAACTTTTCAATGTAAAAGCACAAACATTTTTTAATGACAATTACTACATTAAAAAAAATAATATATTCCCCAAATGAATGAATAAATATAATATTTCAGTTCAAAAATGAAGGACACATTAAAATGGGGAATGAATGAAAGATGGAATGGATGGAAAATAACTAAGCAAACAGATGAAAGATCAAACTAAACAAACAGACGAGCTATTGAATAAATGATTGAGTGTTTCAGCGTACGTTCGTCGAAACGGATGAATGTTTGTTTTTATCTATCCATCCATTCTTTCCTTCATTCGTTCATTCAAGCAAGCAGATATGCATTGAAGTGGATAAAAGATGGATGGATGGATAGATGGATGAATGGATTTACAAATTAATGTTTGAGCAAACAATTATTTAAATGGATAAATGGATAGAGGATTGAATAAAAAATATTGTTGGCCTGCCAGCTCAGACGGTAGAAGGGCTGTCCTACTGAAGATCACATGTGGCTTCGTTGCTATGAGAGGATGACCTGGCTCGAATACGGCCGTCCAAATTAATGCGGCAGACCAACATTCAGTAACTCTTAACTTCCTCTTGTACAATTTATTTTAGAAAGTGTTTGGAGTTTTCATCTTAGTGCAGCCACTGAGTTCAACGTTGTCTGCTGTCATTAAGAATTACTTAATAAATATGTAGATGCTTCACGAGTTGATTGAATAACAGAGACGTCAACAAAGAAGTTATTATGAAAAATTAAAACAATTCGTTTCTTGAATGGATTGTAATCTGTGCTAAAAAAATTAGATTTTATATGACTGCAGACAACGCTCAACTCAATGGCTGGACTAAGATTAAAACTCCAAACACTTTCTAAAATAGAATTGTACAAGAGGAAGCCAAGAGTGACTGATTGTTGGTTTGCCGCCGGATTAATTTTTCTATTTTTGGTGGAAAAACATATTGTCAAAAATTTAAAAATTTTTTCAAAAATTATGTCAACTACGCTCGGTTTATTTAACCGAAAAATTCCAATCCTTTCGAACCCCCCTTCCGACCCTTCCGATCCTCCTTCACGATATCGCAAGACCTTGCGCGGTACAACGGACGTTAAAAAGATAAGAACGCGCTGGGTTTTGAGATTTGGTTTTACCTGCCGTACTCATCAGACCTCTATAAACAATTCACCATTTTTCAAACACTTCAACTACTTTCTCTGGGAACAGTCCTTCAAAACAGAAGCCTTCTCACAGTTGGTCGCCTCTGTACCGCCAATTGTGAAGCCACTGCTATTAAAAAAATTATTTTCTTTGTTGGATGAACGCAAGTTGCAATGGATTTTTTTGTTTTCAATTGAATATCCTAGAAGACAAGT